CCCTAGCCACACTGAATGCCTTGCCTCTTCTACCTGTACCCCAAGCACTGTCTCACCCCATAGCATTTGGCTTTGCTGTTCCCTCCAGCCAGAACACTCTTCCCTACATACCTTGCATCTCTGTTCCTGCAGGTCTCTGCCCAGATGCCTCCTCTTCAAGGGGCCCTTCACTCAACATCCTACTCAAAATCGCACCCACCCTCACTCTTACCCTAGTTATTTCCTCCATGGCACTCATCACCACGGGATGTGTTACACCTTTACAGAGATTATCACTCCCCCCTTCTAGAATATGAGCTTCATGAGGGCAAGGGTTTAGAATTTGTTCACTGCTTTGGCCCTAGGGCCTGGATGCTTCCTGGCCCTGGTGGGTGCCCAGCAAATAGCCACTGAAGCTCTCTGGGTGTTCTCTTGACATCCAGGGCAATAGGACTTGCTCCCAAGATTTGTAGAAGAGTAGCTCTGCAGCTACTCCTCAATATTTTGTGCAAGTCCCTCCCCTCACCCGGCCTCGGTTTCCTCATTTGTACCATGCCAGGGGGGGAGTGGAGATGCCATGACTTCAGCAGCCCCTCCCAGCCCCAGGCTCCTCTGCCTGCTGGGGCTGGCACAGACGCTCAGCGCACACAAGCTGTGATCCAAGCCATCAACGGTAGACACCCAAATGGCTGACTGGCCTCACAAGGCCTGTAGCAGCCTGGGGACCTGATACCTCTCAGCCAAGGTGAAGTCCCCATCCTTCAAGGCTGGCACCTTCTTCAGGGGGTTCACCTGGGCAAAAGCGTCGCTGTGGTGCTGACCTGTGGGAGAGACCAGTGAGGCAGGTGAGGAGAACCCTAAGCCCTCTGAGGTCTCTGCCCAACCCCCACCTCAACATCCAGGCACCAGCTCTTTCCAAGGCCCCTATCCGGGCGGGGTAGCGGGAAGGAGAACACTCTGCTGGTCACCAGATCACAGGCCCTGACCTCCCCAGCAGAGGCCCACCCTTCCTGTGTCCACCCCCTTGGAAATCCGGGCCAAGCAGCATCTCAGCTTGGGCAAGGAGAGAGGGCGATTGCCAGCAGCTGTAATCCAGCCCCACCCCCAACCAAGTCCATCCATTTGTCGGACACTCCAGCCTCCTCCCTGGGCTCTAGGCTTGCCCCCTTCAGCCATCTTCCTATGCCGGGTGGGTGACCTGTCCACACCACAAAGCTCCACGCACACCTGCTCCCAGCCCTCAGTCCAGCCTCGTTCTCTCCAGGAGCCTCTGTCCCATTCAGTCACCCAGACTCCACCAGCTTAGCTCTTCTTTCTTTCTGGTGCCAAACCCTCACGGCTCCTTCCCCAGTGGGTGTTCCCAGGTCTGACTCACTTCTGCATTCCTTGAGCTGGGCCAGTGCTGGGAGGTACGACAATCCCTGTGTGTGGAGTCAGAGCGATTCCACGGAACCAGGCTCCCGCCTGGCCATAGAGCCCTCTTCGCCCTTCTACTGGGTGAAGACAATCACCGCCACCCATTCTCCCTCCAGAAAATGCCTCCGTGCCCAGCCTCCATCCCAAAGAGGGCTAAAAAGGTGGAGCAAGGTGGCAGCATAGCAGTTGGTGTCCCAGGTTGGGGACACCAAAGACAGAAGGTGGGCAGGCTCAGCCAAGAAGGGGTCTCCCTCCTGGCCTGCCCAAGGATAGGCCTACTGTCCGATTACAGCCCTGCCTCCTCCACTGGATCCTGTAAATGTGGAGGGGAGGTAGGCAGGCGAAGGTAGAAGTAAAGAGGGGACGGGCTCCAAGTGGAACAGCCTTCTCTTGCTGACAGATGCAGAAATTCCAGAGATGCGGGCTACCCCAATAAAGAAATGAGAAGACAGTTTCATGGTTTCCTACAAGCCCCGGTGTGGGGGTGTTGGCGCACTCACTCTGGTTCCCCACGCACCCCCTTTCCCGTCCCCCGCGCCCCCCACTGCTCTCTGTCTGCTCTGCTCCCTCTTAACCTGTATTTTGAAAAATGTTTCGTAGTCACTAAGCAAAGATCGGGGCTGTTGAAAAATACACCACCGATAAGTGATGTCACGGCTTCCGTACTGGAAAGTGACCCTTCCAGTCGCTCTGCGGCGCGCGGCCCGGCGGGGCTCCCTCAGCGCACAGGCGGCCCTGCACCCAGGGCCTGTCTGCCGGCCCGGCCCACCTTTGAGCAGCTCCACCGTGCGCAACTCGAAGGGGATGCCGTTCTTCTTGGCGAAGATGTAGACGGCGCGGCAGGGCTGGGATATTAAGTCCAGGTAGAGCTCTAGGCCCATGGCGAGAGCGGAGGACCCAACCCCGGGGTCGCGCCTAGGGTACAAGACCGGGAACAGCAACGGCTGGCGGGAACGGCCGAGAGCCCAGCGCAATCCGCAATCCGGGTGAGGAGTTGGGGGGGGCGGGTCTGAGCCCCGCCACATCCTCCCCGCCCATTGGATGGCTCCGGAGAACTTTGGACCAATCAGAGACACCCCAGCTCTCCCTCGTTCCCTCACCGGGAATCCCTGTAGCGGTTCTCTTGGTAGCACTGGGAGACTTGGCCTCTGACCCGAGCTTTCGCTGCCAGGTCACACCTCTTCCCCTGACCTCAATATCTACCTGGGGTTGGGGAAATCAAATAACTATGTCCTGGTTTAGGGGTTACAGGGAACGCATTGCAAAGGAGAACACTGCTTTCTGGTGTTGCTGAAAACAGCAGACTGCGCTTCGCTTATCTAGTTAATGTGTATCTAGCGGGCACTCACTTCCCTTATCTAGTTAATGTGTACCTAGGGGTTAGGTCCTGCCGGTACCCATAAATTCCTTGGGTCATGTTATCCCATGGAATATTTTATCCTGCCTTGTTTTTCTGCGCATTTTCAATTTTTTTTTCAACGTTTATTTATTTTTGGGACAGAGAGAGACAGAGCATGAACGGGGGAGGGGCAGAGAGAGAGGGAGACACAGAATCGGAAACAGGCTCCAGGCTCTGAGCCATCAGCCCAGAGCCTGACGCGGGGCTCAAACTCACGGACTGCGAGATCGTGACCTCGTGACCTGGCTGAAGTCGGACGCTTAACCGACTGCGCCACCCAGGCGCCCCTTCTGCGCGTTTTCTATACGTTCTTCCTGGCACATAGCCCACGGACGTATTGCACAATGTTTCCCTAAATGTATGCTCAATAATACGGGAGCTTGAGAGCAACTCTGGGAGACTTCCCTTAGCCTCCCTCTCACCTCTCCTGACTTGCACGGAGTCTGGAGTAATCCTTTTTGCCGTCCTCAGCTTTGCTGGACGAAGCCAAAAGCCGAACCCACACTGGGACAGTGAGGGATGATAATGGGAACAGGACGTCAAGGACGCTTCCAGCACGGAAGGTCAGTGAATTTAGCAGCGGAAAGGGCTTGGCTGCCTTCCATTGGCCCAAGCCACTTCCTCAGACTGAGAGAGGAGGGGCTTCTGATTCCTGGGGAACACAAAGGGAGGCAGAGAAAGGAGGTGCAGTAGCCTCCCCTATGGCCAGTGCTCAGGATGGAGGCTGGGGAGGTTTCTGGACCCCAACTCACTGTGGAGGCCAGGCCCACACTACTGGAAAGAATGAGCCACCCCTCCCTAATCCCTGGGGTCATATTCCTTACACTCCAGCTAATCCCTCTAGCAAATGGCAGGAATCCATGGGGCCCACCTAGTGACTTACAGGGGGACTGAAACTTCCCCAGCTCCTTTGCAGGGCCAAGTCCCTCCAACTGATACCGTGGGGGCTCCTGAGGTCTGTGGCTATGGACCCCAATTCCCTAAGAGAGGCTCTTGGAGTAAGAAAATCCTGCCCCCAAAGCCAAGATTCAGAAAAAGCTCCTTGACAAGAGGATGTTATTTAAGAATAGTTTGGCCTCCCTGATCCCCTAAATTCCCCGTTTATGTAAAACCTATTTCCCCAGGAGAGTGCCTTCACAGCCTAGTGCTGGAGCCCTCTCCAAACTGGAAGCGGCCATGCTCTCCAGTCCCTTCATTGCCCTGCCCTCTTGCACAAATCGCCTTTGGCAGGATTACTATAATATCCAATCTTCCTGCTTCCTCTCTGGCCATCCTCCAGTCCAACCCCCCGCATCCAGCCAGAATATTATTTTAAAATGCAATCTAGTGGGGTGACTGCCTGGCTCAGTCGGCAAAGCATGTGACCCTTAATCTCAGGGTTGTGAGTTGAGGCCCCACACTGGGTGTGGAGCCTACTTAAAATAAAATATAAGTAACTAAGTAAATGAATAAATAAATAAGATGCATTCTCAGCACACTATGCCTGTTTATGGTTTACAAATCATAGGCATGGCCTTTAAGGCCTGCATAATTGATTTCCTGACCAGGAGAGCTGCTATTTGGATTTTCCCCTCCTGACCAATCCTGCAGAACACAGTCAGGACACATGAGCTACAGCACTTGGTGCCAAAGGGCCATATCCTGGGAGGTTGGCCCAGCCAACTGATTGATCACCATGCCTACAGCCACCACATATGGGATGCCTGCTGCCCTCTGTGCTGTCTGACAAATCACTTTCTCCAAGAACTAGAAGATTAGAGGGCATTTGTTCATTTCACCCCTAGAAACCATCATGGAGAAGCTGACCCATAGGGCTTAGGAAAGGGGGTTGTCTTTGGGATAGAGAAGAAGACGAGGGCCAGGACAGAAGCTCAAATAAATCACACATTATTAGAAGCACAGGCTCAGGCTGAGCCCAGGTTTATTTCCTAAACTGAAAATGAAATGCAGTGATTAAAGGAGATAAGATGTGGGTGTTCCATTCTCATTGTGGCTTTCAGGCCGCTGTGGAAGATGGTGTGGGTGTAGGGATCTAACCTGGGGAGCAGAGGGGCAGTGGGACTCAGGCAAGTCACTCCTGCCCTCTGAGCCAACCTCCCATGGGAGATTGGAAATGAAGATGCTTTGCGAACTATCCTGGGCAGAGCAGGTACAAGGCTTCCTGGCTCACCGGATCATGGCCAGCACCGCAGGCATCAGCTTCTGCTTTATGGTGGGGTCTGCAGGTGGAGAGTCCTTGGCCTTCAGGATGACCTCATGGGCCTCCCGGAAGAGATCCTCTCCCACTGCTGCCTCCACACGCCGGTACCATGCAGCCAGCTTGGGTCTACCTTCAAAGACTTGGCAGCCAGCACCCACAGGCTGTAGGGAGAAAGAGAACGGGATGGGGGTGGGTTGGCAAGGTCAAGAATGGCAGCATCTGCCCAGTTTGGGGGCCACATAGCTCCAGAAGAGGTTTCCATAGATAAGCACAGCTGGTGGCAAGACTTCAGCAACTCCCCAGGGCCCTCCCCGCCTAGCAGGCCCACCCTATCCATACAACTCACATGCATCAGCTCTGTGATGGCTACCAGGTCAGCCAGGGAGACATGGGGCCCAATGAGAAAGGCCTTGTTCTGGAGGAACTTGTCCTCAAGCAACTGCAGGGTCACATCCAACTCAGCAAGGGTGGTCGCCAGCATCTCAGGAGATACTGGCTCACCCAGGAAAACAGGGAACATCACCTGGTAGGTGGGGAAGCAAAGCAAAGGGTTAGGGGCCAGCCCAGACAGCCTCAGGGGCAGGAAGGCATGTGTGCCTCCCCACCCCAGTTTGAGCTGCTTTCTGGCTGCATGCACCTCTCTTCTATAGCCTGGGTAGGCCTGCAGGGAAACTCCCAGAGGACCATCTTTCCCAGAAATATTCCTTCTTCTGTGATCTCTGATGGCTGAACCTCAGGAGCATCCGACAGAAGGACTCAAAGGGGACCTGAACAATGAGTTTTATACTTTGGAAGTAGATATTAGGCTTGGGAACAATCTATTTTATAACATCTTTCCCCCTGAATATAAAGCCAGTACCTCTTACTGTATAAGTAATTAGGAAGATAAGCTAATAAGATTTCCACTCTGCCACTTATAGAGTGTGTGGACCCAAAACAAAATCCTCAAACACTCTGAACTTCAATTTCCCCGTCTATAATATAGGAATAATAATAGTGCCATGACTCCTCTTGTAAATGGAAAAGTGGGGCCCAGAGAGGCACCGTCACTTGCCTGAAAGGCACAGCCAAGAAAAGACTAAGTCAAGAGTAGAACCAACATTTTCTGAGGGACTAAGGAGGAGGGCCAAGAAAGAGTGGTGTCCAGGATTCCAGGAGGAAGGTGTTTTAGGGGGAAGCCATCAACAGCCTCAAGGTTGGCAGAGCTGTCTGGGAGATACACAGATGGGGATCATGAGAGGGAGGCTTCATGCTTTGTTTGGTAAGGTCGTTTGGGAGAGCCTGAAATACAGGTAAACAGATACACAGGACTAGGATTGTACACGAGCCCTGGCTTTGGGCTTCAGTTTCCTCTCCCATACAAGGTAGACAGAATCAACGATCGCCCACTGGTGCCCTGGAGGCCAGTTCTGAGCTGATAACATTGGTCTGGCTACAGAGTTTTTAAAAATATGGATCAGTTGCTGACATTTAACATGGGGACATTTCATATGAGAGTCCAGACTTCCAGTTTCTTTTTAATTAAATATTTTTTAATGTTTATTCATTCTTGAGAGAGAGAGACAGATAATGAGCAGGGGAGGGGCAGAGCAAAAGAGGGACACAAAATCTGCAGCAGGCTCCAGGCTCTGTCAGCACAGAGCCCGATGTGGGGCTCGAACCCACGAGCTATGAGATCATGACCCGAGCCGAAGTCAGGCGCTTAAACTTAACTGACTGAGCCACCGAGGTGCCCCTCCAGCTTCTTTTGAATGTAAAGGGTGCTGGCCATAGGGTATCCCTGCTCAGTATCTAAGGCTGATGTTCATGGGCTCTCAGTCTGCAGAACCCCACCTAGGCCTCTTCCTTCTATTTATTATCCGCCTCACCCTTGCAAGAGGTTGTGGACTCTACATTTCCCTTCTGTTCCAATTTGGTAGATTCAAAATTCTTAGGGTTTTAAAAAGTGGTTTTGTTCCCCTTTATTATTTTTTTTAAGATTTTATTATTTTTTTGAGAACTATAGACCAATTTCCCTGATGAACATGGATGCAAGAATACTCAACAAGATATTAGCCAACCAGCTCCAACAATAAAACATTAAAAAAATTATTCACCACGACCAAGTAGGATTTATACCTGGGATGCAGGGCTAGTTCAATATCCGCAAAACAATTAATGTGATTCATCACATCAATAAAAGAAAGGACAAGAACCATATGATCCTCTCAATAGATGCAGAGGAAGCATTGGACAAAATACAGCATCCTTTCTTGGTAAAAACCCTCAAGAAAGTAGGGGTAGAAGGAGCATACCTCGAGATCATAAAAGCCATACATGAACAACCCAATGCTAATATCATCCTCAATGGGGAAAAACTGAGAGCTTTCCCCCTTAGGTCAGGAACAAGACAGAGATGTCCACTCTCACCACTGTTATTCAACATAGTATTGGAAGTCTTAGCCTCTGCAATCAGACAACAAAAGAAATAAAAGGCATCCAAATCGGCCAGGAGGAGGTCAAACTTTCACTCTTCACAGATGACATGATACTCTATATGGAAAACCCAAAAGATTCCAACCAAAAACTGCTAGAATTGATTCATGAATTCAGCAAAGTTGCAGGATATAAAATCAATGCACAGAAATCGGTTGCATTCCTATACACCAACAATGAAG